GAGAATTACAAGACCATGGCGAGAAAGGCCATATAAAAGCAATCCATCGCACCACAGGCCACCCCCTGGCTCTTCTAGCCATGGTTCTTTCATACTTGGAGAATAACTTCCCCCTCCCAATCATTTAACCAGTTCAAATCAGTCATTAACAATTAGTCCTTCAGTAGGGCAAAGAGTTCTCAAGGTGAGGTTTCTCAAGTCCCAGCCATTCAGGTCTGCTGCAGGTGTCCATCTGATCTCATCAGGTGTTGCAAAAGTTGTCTTGGCTTTACCCTTTCTGGCGTGTGATAAAATTTAACTGAGAGAAGATTATTCTCTTGCTCTGAGCCTCACAAGTTATCAGCAGAGTAAAACCTTTAAGGGACTTTACGTTTGGCCACTGTACTCCAGTCCAGCAGTGCCTCCCCCTTAGTCCATTCTTTTGCAGTTACGGCTTCTACAATTACAGTTTTTACAATCACAATTAACCCTGTTAACAATCAACACTCACAACTGAATCATATAATCCTATCAGTGTCTTCCCCACCTTCTCTTCCCCAGACCTATCAGGAAAAAAGCAATCTATTCAGTGGGGATCCTCCCTGGTCCCTCTTCATTTTGAATATAAGCACACCCACCAAAGCATGTAAGCCAGCTACTTCATGCCTTTATCTCTCCCTGTTTTAGACAGCCAATGTTTAAATTGCCCGTCCCTACCAAACCAGTACTCTGAGAAGATAAGCATGTCCCTTGATCTGAAAACTTTTCTGTTCTGGTTGGAACTTTGAGCATCTACATCTATAAGCAAAGTCCAGTCTAGAGCAAACTATCAAATTGCAGCAATCTATGCCAGCTCAAAATATGCAGATCATGGAAAGAAACAAGGCCCCTGGATGGTGAATCAGTTAATGCACTCGGCTGCTAACTGAAAGGTTGGAGGTTCAAGTACACCCAAAGGAGCCTCGAAAGAAAGGTCTGGTGATCTACTTCCAAAAAATCAGTCACTGAAAACCCTAAGGAGCACAGTTCTACTCTGACACACAGGGGGTCGCTATGAGTCTGAATCAACTGGACAGAAACTTTTTGTTTTAATGAATTGGTATTTTTATGAATTTTGTGATGTTTGTGTTATTTGTTAATATCTTAAAATTTATATTGTTGTGATTTTTTCTTGCTCTAAATAAATAGTAACTTTTGTATCTTATTTTGAATTCATACTTTTGCATTTTTTTTCTTAAGGTGGGCCCCCCAAATTGTATAAGCTTCGGGCCCAAGAAAACCTGAATCTGCCCCTGCAGGAGAATTAAAACTTTTTCGCTACCATTGGGTTCACAGTATGCCAGTCACTTTTTATGCCTCTGGATCTCAGAGGTTAGACATTATTCTGGTTCTAAAGCATTTAGCGTCAAGGTGAGTCTCTTTTGAAATGCGTGAAGCCCAGCAGATCTGAGTTGGAGCCTCACTGTTGTGTAGGTTGTGCATTCTATTAGGTGATGCTTCCTGGATGTGTTAAGTTTGTAAACTTTTGCCTTTTTCCCCTTTACTCTCTGAGATAAGGCTTGCAAGCGTAATTCTGGCTTTCCTGTGTGATAGTTAGGGAGTCCTGATGGGTTTGTTTTGGTTTTTCTGTGTCCTATTTGGAAAAGCAGAGGTTCCCCATGTAAGCTAATGGAAAGGTGCCTGCAATAAATAGTCCATTTAACTCTGACTGGTATACTGTTGTACCACGGTGCCGCTCACCTCATTGGTGGCTTGTGTCACCACATCATATTTCTCAAAATCCACATTACCAGCCAGAAATTTAAACACACTCAGTAAGCATACATTACAATATTGAAAACACATGCCATCAAAAAAAAAAATGTAGTAACAAAAGGGTTAAAAAAGCATAGTTTACTGAGAACTTTTGTTCAAACAGTAAGAGAAAGAAATGGTTAACAGCCATGTCAATGAATATGGTTATTAGTGTTTTGGGGGTGGGCGAGGCGGGGCTGCAGTTAGCCTGGGGCGCTCCATGGCCTGGAGCAGTGCAGGCGGTTGGGACTGGAAGGAAAGGGATGACTCCAGAGACCCAGAAAGGATGGCATGGTGGAGGGGCAAGGAGGAAGGCGGGAGAGAGGACAGGGGAGCCATTCTGGAGAAGGCAGCACTTTGGGGGAAAGGAGGCCTGGGCAGGAGACTTTATGGAGACCTCTCCTGGGCGGGACAAAGGGAGATGGGCAAAGGGGAAGTGGTAGCAAATGGTCTAGGACTGCCCTAACCTGAACCAGTGTCGGAATGATCAAAAGCAGTTCACACTGATCTCTTGAGAGGTCCAACCCTCTGTGCCCATCACCTTTCAGGATGTAGAAAACAGACTCAGGAGAGCTGAGGGTAGTAGCAAACACAGCAAGACAGCAGAGCACTTGGGTACGGGTGAGAGTGGGCTTTTGGACCACAAGACGATGCAAACTGTGCCATACACTCCTTCAGCTAAGGAGGGCTTCAAAAATGACCACCACGAACCACCTTTTCCTCGCTCACTGGGCTTCTGTCTGGAGCCCACATTTTCTCCAATTCACAAGAGCATTGTTAAGCCAACGGTCTCTCTAATCCAGGTTACGATGACCTCGCGTGGCTTCTGTTTTTCCCGGTCACAGACCACCCTCTCACCCACTGCCCAGCAGGCAGGAAGCAGCAGCAGAATGCTTCCTGACCAGGCTCCTAATGGCAGGATCTTTAGCCCTCTCCTCTCTTCTTTTAAAAACAGCTTTTTTGTTGTTGGCAAGTTGCAAACACATAAAATGTCTCTTAAATAAGTTAAGCTTCGTAAGACACTTAGTACTATGCCTGCCATATCGAAAGCTCTACGTGAGTTTGTTAAATAAAATAAACCATATTAAACCCTTCTGTTTCTTCAAGCATCTAAATTTGAAAAGCCACAGACACCCATAACTTAGCTCACTCGAGTTTACACAGTGGCTTCTTGATCCTGAGCTGGCTTCTCCTCAAAGTCTCAAGGAAGACAATTTTATGGTGGGATCTGCAGTTCCTGAACATTCTGATGATGCTGTCTGGAGAGAAGGTGGGTTGGGGGGAGGGGAGAGCAGGGCTCCAGGCAGACAGGGCCGCTGCTTTCCAGGGAGAACTCTGCCTGGAGGTACTATTTTGTCTGACCCACTGCCATGGAGGTGTGAGTCCTTTAATTCCTCGAGAAAGAAGGTGATGAAGGCAAAGGGTGAAGCTTCACAAGACTCAGTTTTATAAGCCACAGTCTTTTGAGGCCGAGTCTTCAGTACTTAAAACAAAGAGGGCCCTTCTGTGTTGAAGGTTAACTTTTAAAAGGGATCAGAGGTGTCACGGAGTCCCTGGGTGGTGCAAACAGTTAAAAGTGCTTAGCTGCTAACCAAAAGGTTAGAGGTGTGAGTCCACCCAGAGGCAGATGGGGAAGAAAGACCTGGAGATCTACTTCCAAAAAATCAGCCACTGAAACCCTATGGAGGACAGTTCTACTCTGGCACACGTGGAATCGCCATGAGTCAGCGTCAACTCCACGACAACTGGTTTTAAAGGAGTCACATCAAGGTAAAGCACTACCCACTTGGCGTGTAAGAACACACTGCAAATTTAAGATTGGTAACAACTGGTTTTAACTTGTAGGAGAAACTCGTACAGCATTTTCAGACTATTAGACTTGGAAGAAAAATGCTGTTTGGATATTAAGAAAAGTAAATCTGCCCACACCACTCCTTCTGGCCATCTTCATCTTCCAAAAGAACCCAATGATGTACCTTAAACAAGCAAAACCCAACCCTGCCCCTGACAGACCAAATATCTACTAGTAGCTACTATGATTCAGGCACTGGTTTGGGTACTGAGGAAAACCCAGGGGCCAAAATACACAAAAAGTGAATATGAGAAAACAGGCAGCACTCTATTTTTTTACTGTATCCTTGCTGCTCTTTAGCCCTGCTGCTTGGTGTTCATCCGTCCGTCAGTGGAACATGTTCCCATCTGCTGGCCTATACTAATTACCGTATGGAATCAGAGTAAGCATAAACTCGGGATGCTCCAAGAAAGACAAACAGCAACACTGCCAGATCTCTGCGCGGCTGGGGAGTAAACTCGGGGACACGCACCCTCCTGGCCCGGTCACTGGACCCATCAAACGTCCTTCAAAACCAACAGCTGCTGTATTCTAGCCTTGGAGGGATTTTTAAAGTCCTAGACTGATTTGCATAGTTAATATATTCTAACTTACTCTCTCAAACGCAAAGGTCAAGTAACCTACAGTTAGCCATTCAACTGCCAAAGGCGAGAGGCCGCGTCTGGTAAGTTTCACTGGTGGCTGCGCCTGCCACTGGGGAAGACGACAGGACACGGACAAAGGAGGCGATCACTTCCCTCAACTCCCTGGGGCTAAAGGAAGGTAAAGGGAAGGTTTGTCCAGGAAACAAAACACAAAGAGCTCCTTTCACAGCTTCACACCGAGCACTGGCGGAGTGCAACGGGCAGACGGCAGCGGCATGCGGTCCCACAGCACCCGAAGCCCGGGCCGGCCACCAGCCGCCCCACCGGGCTTTCCTGCGGGGAGCCGCCCGCACAGCGCCTCGCAGAGCCCGGCTCCCTGCAGCTTCGCAGGGGACAGCGCGCCTTTCCTTCCGACTTTATCTTTTTTAGGACTTGAAAAAGTTCCCTATGGGCGTGACCTGGCCAGAACCAGTCCTTCTCTGCCTGCCTCGGGTGAATGCAGGAGGAAATAGGCGACTCGGATGGGGCGCTGCACCGCGCTCGCGGGGTTGTGCAGGGGGCGGAGGGACAGGAGGCGCGCGGGAGGCAGAGAGGCGGGCAGGGGACGGGCAGGGGGCAGGGGGCGCGCAGGCGACGGAGGGGCGTGCAGAGGACGGAGGGGGCGCGCAGGGTGAGGAGAACCGGAGTAGGGAGGAGAGGGGATCAGAGAAGTGTGGCACAGAGAGCGTAGAGCGCAGGGGCGCAGAGGAAGTGCGCAGGGGGTGTCCCCACCACCTGGGCCAGCCGCTGACCTGTCCTGCCCGGAGCGCCAGCTGCACGGCCACCTCAAAACACTCCTTCCAGGGGTCCCCCGCGGCCGCCGCCGCCGCCTCGTCTTCTCGGCACGGCTTCATTGCTGCCTTGGTCGGGCCCGGCGACCTCCAGCCTCCTCCCGGCTGCGGAACTGTGGGGGCGTTGAGGGGGCCAGCGGCGACGTAAGGCACAGGACCCCGGTTTCCACCAGCTCCACTGCCACTGAAACCTCGCTTCGAAACTTCTCGGCCAACCCAGCCGCCTCACAGATGTCCCGGCGGAGAAGGGCAGGGAGCCGGGACTGCTTGGGAAGCTCCGGCCGCGTCGCGCCTCCGCCCCTCGGCCCCGCCCCACCTCTCCTGCGCCTCCCGCGCTTCTGCCCCGAGACCCCGGCCCCGCCCCCTGCTGGGGCCCCGCCCCTGTGCTGAGGCCCCGCCCGGTACCCGCTTCCGCACTGAGGCCTCGCCCCTTGCCCGCCGGACGCGGAGGCCCTGCGCCTAGCCGGATCCCGCGTCGAGGCTCCCCTCCTCCTACCTGCTCCCGCGCCGAGGCCCTGCCCCTGTGCTCGGTCCCACGCCGAGGCGCTGCCGCGGGCGGCGCGCTCTTTTCCGCGCGCGGAGAGCGGCCTTGCCTGCGCGTCCCGGTAAAAGGAGCACTAGGAGGTGGAGGTCTGAGGACTCTGGGTTGCCGGATTCCAGCAGGCAGCCGCCGGATAGATGCGGGCGGCCCAGGCCGGGCAGACGCACGGGCGGGACTTTAAATGAACTTGGGAACACAGTCTGACGGCGGTGTGCTTCAGCGGAGGGAATTCAACCTCGGTGCCTTTTTCAATCTCCCGCGTTTGGCGCCGGGCGCTCGTCCGGGAGGGCACGGCAGGGGGCCGAGTCTTCGCCAACGCGGAGACCGGGGCGCAGAGCTGTGGACGTAAGGAGCAGCAGCTCCCCGAGCGAGCGGAACAGAGAGTCGACGCCGGCATGCTCGGGTGGGGTCCCACACTGGTCTCCTCCGCGCGAGCCTGCAGCCCAAACTTTGATTGCTCTCTAATGAGGCTAACCTTGAGTTCTTTTAACACAGTAGTGCTGGCACCACCTGAACATAATAAGCACAGGCGCTTCCGAGAGGGCCCGCGCGGCGTGCAGCGGTGCGGTCTCATAAGCTGCTTGCCTCCCACTTTCACAGAAGGGGCTGACTCTCGCACAGTTGTTCTGGAGGGCACCCTGCTGCCTGGGAGAGCAATGGGAGTGCGAGCAAGAACTGAGATGGGACACTTTTACGGTTAAACTCATGATGGGGTTACACATTTTAGTTTCAGTCTATCAGTCACTTTATGTTGAAATAGCTTGTGGAGACACGTAAGATGTACGGTTAAAATTTTTTAGAAAGCTGTCAGAGTAGTTCTGACTCAGCGGGAATCAGATTGCCAGGCCTTTCTTCTTCCACAGAACTAGCAGGTTGGTTCTAACCGCCAACCTTTCAGTTAGTCAAGCTCGAACTGTTTGAGACTCTAGGTGTAAGGTATAAGGGACGAAAACTACAAACAACGGGGAAAAATTAGGACGCCAAAGCTGGGTAGGGCTTTGGACTCTATGTCCCTAAAACTTAGCTGCTAACCCTGAAAGATTAACGGTTCCGGTCCACCCACAGTTGCCTTGAAAAAATGCGTGGCAATCTACTTCTGAAAGACAAGCCTTTGAAGGCCTGTGGAGCACAGTTCTACCGGGACACACATGGGATCCCCATGAGTCGGAATTGACTAGATGGAATGGGTTACTGGTAGCATCACTCAGCCTCCTCACCCTTCAGCTCAGGGCACTAAACAAGGGATTGCCCCCAACTCTGACAGCTGGTTTGGGGCAGCTAAGAGGGTGCTTCACTAAGTTTTTTTTTTTGTTAATAGTTTTTTTCTCATGGTTTTCAAGATAGGGAGCAAGAGCAATGAAAATAAGACCATGCCCTGAATGCATTTTGAAATGAAATACACTCAGTCGTTGATCTGAGGCAGGTTTTCACTGACAATCACTTCTAATACCAGTGCCAGGAAGTATTAGGAAGTGATGAAATTTCTGCTGGGTCTCTTCCTAATGCCCCTTTCTGAACACTGTTCCCCCTAATCCCCATACGGTAACTGTCTTAGTTATCTAGTGCTATTATAACAAATAGGTGACTTTAACAAAAACAAATTTATTTTCTCCCGGTTTAGGAGGGTGTTGTTGTTGTTAGGTGCCAT